CAGTCCTCCCTCATGGATTTAGAGAGTCCCCTCACATTTTTAGCCAAGTCCTACAGCAAGATCTCAATTTCCTTAATCTTTTCACAAGCAAGCTCATCCCATATGTAGATGACCTATGTAGCCCCTCAAAATCCTTTTGTAAAACCCATACCATTATTCTCCTTAATTTATTAGCAAAAAACTAGACCCCATTTACAGGGGCTGGCCAGCCTGCCTAAAAGTATTGGCTACAGCAGCTCTTTTAATACCAGAAGCTCAAAAAATAACTTTCAATTTACCTATGACAGTCTGGTCATCTCACAACATTCAAGACTTAATTAGCCACAAAGCTCTTAACTCCATTTCCCCACCTCATGTTCAGATCTTACACTCCTTTCTCTTACAACCTAACTTTCTGGTGATGTCAGTGACTAAACCCTGCTACCCTCAATCATCCCACCTAACCCAGAGCCCCCAGCTCATGACTGTTGAGATACTTGATGACTCACTTACAACTTTCCATCACATCCTAGACACCCCCATACCTGATGACCCCACCTGGTTTATAGATGGCAGCTCCACAAAGGCCTCCACTACCTCTACAGCTAAAGCAGGATATGCAATAATTGAGACACCCAAATAACACATATGCCATAATAGAACGAAATAGCCTTCCTCCTACAACTACCTCCCAACAGGCAGAACTGTATGCTCTTACATGAGCATTACAAAGGGCAAAAGACAAGACAGTTACCATTTATATAGATTCAAATATACATACAATATCATCCATTCTAACGGCTAAATATGGAAAGAACAGGGTTTTTTTAACAACTAAGGCTCCCCAATTCCAATGCAAAACATTATGGCCATTTTACAAGCGACACTCTCCTTCACACAGCTGCCATCCTTCACTGTAAGGGACATCAAAAGGATAACACCTTCATATCTATTAGCCATAATTTGGCAAGATATCACAGCTAAATAGGCAGCCCAACAAATGCCCCCCAGGTCATTCTACCAATTCATTATAGATACACACAAAAAGAAATGGAACTATTAAAAACTCAGGGCGGGGGGTTAGCCAACACAAAGGATACTGGTTTCTTAATAATACTCTTGTACTTCCAGAACAACAAATTAAACCCATATTAACTGCCCTCCATCAAGTCTTCCACTCTAACCCTCTGTCTTTACTCCATTTTATTAAAACTTATATTGCTCCTAATCCTAACTTCCACAAAATACTAAAGAAATCTCATCCTCTTGCAACATCTGCTCCAAAACTAATCCCCTATTAAACATCCGGCCCCCTTCCTTTCCCACCCATCAGGCAAGAGGTCACTTACCTGGGTGAGACTGGCAAGTGGATTTTACTAATATGCATCCAATTAAACACATCAGATATCTTCTTGTTTTCATTGACGTCTTAGCAGTATGGATCAAAGCTTTCCCCATTAACAAGAGAGCCTCCACAGTGGCTACCATACTTTTCAGAGAAATCATTTCCCATTTTGGTCTCCCTAAATTGCTACAGTCAGATAATGGGCCAGAGTTTACTTCTACCATTGTTCAACAATTGAGCTCCTGTATAGGGTCAAAATGGCACTTCCATATCCCATACCATCCACAATCTTCTGGAAAAGTAGAAAAGACACTCTAAATAGCATACTCAGATTTACTCAGGAACTTCAACTGGACTGGGTTAAACTATTACCTTTAGCTCTTTGTACCCTAGCCCTCCCTTGAAAGCCTCTGCTAACCAGTCCTTTTGAGGCCATGCATGGTCATCCACTAGTAACATCAGGTTTTCCTACAACATCCTCTAACATTCCCCCTTCTCTACTTTCTTCTTTACTACCCTACATGAGGACAACACTTTGGACTCACCTAGACACTGACCTCCCAAAACACACCTCTCTTTCTCCTGCAGACCCCGACCCAGTACAGATTGGAGAATGGGTTTACTACAGGGAACCAGTATCCCCTCTTCCCTTACAACCTCTTTGGTAGGGCCCCCTACAGGTGATTTTAACAACTTCCACTGCCGTTAAACTACAGTGATACTTGTACATGTTTCTTCTATAAAATGAGCCTCTTCTTCCCCTACCCCCCCAAATGCACTGCCCTCTCCTGCTCCAGGACTGGACCCACCAAGATCTGTATCACCCGTCTGCCCTCTATCCAGGAGACTGATGAGTTGACTCCTCCAACAGTACCAGAACTTCCTCCAGATTCTCCAAAGCCAACTTAATTATTACCTGCCACAAGAACCTCTCAGAGATCATGTCAGATCTTAGGCTACAAGGAGAGCTCATCAATTTCATACCAATGTTTAACTGTAATCTCCCTCGGCCCCCACCCCAAGTACTTTTAACTATCGATCCTAATCTCTCCTTTTGCTGGATCTGCACCAGATCCACTGAAAAGGGCTGGGCAGCACATTCTGCCACTCTCGCAGAATGGACCAACACAAAAAGAACCTTATACCCGAGTTCCACCCACCTAGGCTCCATGTACTTTGCCCACCACTCACAGAGCAATAATGGTGAAACTGCTTCTCAGGCACTATTTGATCTAAAACTCCAATTAATGCCTCTACTAGAAAAATCACAACATACCACCCCCTCAAAACACTCCCTCCTATGACAGGCTCTATAGCACAAGCTGACCTCTATGGGACCACACATTTATGTATACAAAGACCCCACTTTCCAGATTCCAAACCCATAGGCTCTCTTAATACTTCCTGATGCACACAGACTCTTTCTCCCACCGCCCCCATAACAGTCAATTCCTATTCTTTAACTAAAGGGACAACAGGTACAAACACATCAAAATAGCCTATTTCTTGACCTCCAACTTATCCATTCCAACACACTCTCATCCCCTCCCCCCAGGGGCACTTCACGACAGCCACGTCAGACTTTTGTAATGGGAGACTCCATCCCAATGCCATTCTAGTCTTTAACCTATCAGTACTCTACCCAAATCCCTTCTCCAAAGGTAACTGTGAACTGTTATTCACACCTCACTCCTGGGTTTTCCTCTATCCACCAATCCACCAATTTATGGAATCCCTCATACCCACTAGTGCTTCTTCCCCTCTCTTACAACCCCTCTTAACAGCCTCCCTCTATCTCCTTTCACTCATATGAAAGAACAAAATGCAGACTGGTTAGAACCTCTCCTCTCTTTCGAATTAATGGGATGCCTCTCCCCGCCTCAGGCATCTTCTTTCTGTGCTTGTTCCATGCATACACATGTCTACCTAGTAACTGGATGGGGGGGGTTGTACCCTTGTTTTTCTGATTCCCCATCTCCTACACTATCAACTCGAAAATCATTCCAGCCCCCATTGTCAGCTTTATACGCACAAAAAGAGATACTGACCTCACCCCCCAGTAGGGGGACTGGACCCCTTAACTGGGATTGGGACGGGATCAACCAGATTAGGGGTGTCAGTCATCCAATTGCAAAAATTATCCACAGCTCTAAAAGAAAGCCTTAATAACATTGCCTTACAGATTTCTGCAATCTAGGATCAGATTGACTCATTAGCGGTGGTGATACTACAAAACCGGAGGGGATTAGATCTCCTCACAGCTGAAAAGGGCAGACTGTGCCTCTTAGGGGAGGATTGTTTCTTTACCAATAAATGTGGCATAGTTAGAGATAGTAAAAATAACTTAGAGCTAGCTGTTGGGCCCTAACATCCTCACAGTCTGATATCCTTTCCTCCTTATACACATGGCTCATTCCACTGGCAGTTCCTCTCAGCCTTATTTGTCTGGCTTTAATGTTTCTACCATGACTTATAAATATCCTCCAAAGATTTTTACAGAAGCGTATTACTGCCATTTCTCAGGCTACCTCAGGGGAGCAATTTAAAGCCATCATGCTTCTACAAACTCTCCAGGCTCGACAATCCCCCACATTGTCCCTGGCCAGCAGGAAGTAGACAGAAGACTGGCGACATCCTCTCTCTCTCACACACACACACATATAATATTGAGAAACACTGAAACAAAGCAAATATGGCTATCTCCGATAAAAGGGCAGAGAAAAACAGTGTGTATGGCTGGCTGCCCAGATCCAACGACCTTCCTAATAATGTCCCGAACCTTCCCCCAATTCCCCCTTTGCAGTCATTTTTTCTCTAACCTCCCTGTTCCCACTATAGGATGCCTAAAAACCCCAGCCTGTAAGACAGGCATGCGCTCGCCCCTCTCAGAGTGTTGCTCTGATGGCCGAGGGTCCCTCTCAGGTCTCCTCTCCCTAATAAAGACCTGCTGCTTGCAAAGGTTGCAGTCTTTCTCCGTCTCTCTCTTCCTTCTTCATTTTCCTTTCAGTCTATCCTCTCTGATTGTAATCAAGTGGGCATTATGCATGTTGATAACCTCTAGCTTTAATAGCTACAAAACTGAAAACTGACTTTAACATTACATCCTGAGTTTCACTCTCCTAATACCTACCATAATTTGTTCAATTTTAGGTGGAACATTTGTAGTTTGTCTTATTGTAGGATATCTGGAATTTACAGCACACCTTGTATCTGAGAGGTAGAACTGCAAGTGTATTTAACTGTATTACATTGTTCTAGAAGTAGACAAAAATCCTTAAATTCTCCGTACAATAGATTCATAGGGTATCTGGACAAACCGCAAAGAAGGGAAGAAGGCTTGCTTTGTTACCAAATTTCCCTTCCATGTTGGCTCAATTTGAGATTCCTTTTTTAATATCAGTGAAAGTGAAATATTTTCCAACTCTTTACTAAAACAGCAGGAATGCCATTAATTAGAAACACTAAAGCAGAAATCTTACATCGCTGTTAAGATTAAACCCTGACATTTAAACAACACTTAGTGATATAAAAATTATTCAGAGGGTGAATGAGGACCACAAGGTAAAATGCACATGGATTTTTTATTTGTGTAGACACGCTTCTAAAAACACTTTAAAAGAGACACACGTGAGCACACCATCAGTATCTCACCAAGGCAGGTTTATTCCAGAAGTTC